GGACCCTACAAACTTGGCAGGATGAACGGCAAACAATTACCAAACAATTGGAATATATCACTCCTCAAATGATATTACTGCTAAGGTACGACCTTCTCCATTTTTATTTATATTTTATACTAACCATTTGTAGGTGTTTAATCGAAGACATCAAAGGATTCTTCAAACACAAAGTCTTTAGGTCTGAAAGCATACATTGCACTCTTTTTTCCTTAGACCTGTTTTTGTCCCAAATGGGTTTTTCCAGCGAGGTTTTTAACGAGGCAACCATTATTCGCGCTAACTTAGAGCAATTCAACAGTAATCGAGGCTCCTTTACAATCAACCTCGAATACTGGGGGGCATCACCCTCGGATAGTTACAAGGAAAATACTTCGTGCTGATAGGGTCTCGATAGGAAAATTTTGTAAGGGTCAAACGGTCGAACGAACAATGCCCATGTAGATTACTCGAGCCCTAATGGCAAATATGTACGCATGTTAATCTATTGAAAAAGTATTTTTCCTTCCCAGATATTGCATGCCGTAGATAAACTTTTACTTTACAATGTCATGCGTGTAATCTGTTGTGGAAACTGACTTAAGGGCCGGTCAAAACTAAAGTTCGAACAATTGACCCCGCACTCGGGGACTGCCATCCAAAAAATTGACATGATCGAATTACTAAAACCTCGAGATCGTAAGACCTTAAAAAAGGCAATCCTCAATTTTATAGGCCACGACCACCACACTCAGGGACTGATATTTCGAACAAGTTCGAAGTATTATAGGGGAACAAGCCCAAAAGGCGAATCCCAAGTTAAAGTCTATGGCCAAATTAACATGGTTCGGAGACGTCCGATTTCCGTTATAAAGCAGGCCTTCGAATATTTTCATAAATTGGTTAAAAAGACTACCCTCAGCTGAACTACTAAGGGTCTCGATAATATTGACCCTCGGAAACCCTAATGGGTACAAAGTCGTTCGAACTCTCGAACAAATTCTTTATTTCATGCTAAGTCACAACCGAATTTATATGACTAAACAATAAACGTTTCAAGTCGAAAAGGGAGAGAAAGTCATTCTTTTTATTATGGTCGTATCGGGCTAATTTAAGAGCCTAAAGGGCCATTTTATTTTTGAGTTAGAGAAATCATCCTCACTCAATTAAAACCTAAGGGTCACCCTCCTCCGAGTTCGAGCAAGTACTCACTCGATTATAAAAACTACACTAGTCCGTCTTCAATCAAATTGCCTAAGCCTCGAACTTATGAACAAAATTTTCATAAGGCATGAATGAAATAAAATTTTCACAAGGCAGAAAATTAAATAAAGACAAATCGGAAAGAGATCTTTATATATATGAGAATATTTACAAGGTCCGATCAGGATCCTACACATAAGATCAAAAGTGAAAAATCCTAAGGTTCCTAATTTTCTCCGGGGGAAGCTTCTTCTCCATCGAGGTCCCCCACGCTCTCGGACCCACCTTTCCTCTCGGCGTCATCATCATCATCGGAGGGGGCCAGCACTCCAGCACTAATTTCATGCTCTCTAGCCTTTATTATCTCGTCGATAAGATCGAAACCTCGAGCGTGGATCTCCTCGAGGGTTTCCCTCCGAGATTGGCATTTGGCGAGTTCATCAATCCAATGTGCTTGAGTTTGAGCGGTCTCGACAGCCTCTCTCTCTTGGACTTGAGCGGCTTCAGCATCAGCCCGGTAGACAGCCACGATCGCATCTGCCTTGGCTTTAGCCTTTTCGGCTTTAGATTTATTCTTTGCAAGTTCGGAAGCCTACCGAGCCTCGAGCTCCTCTATTTTCTTTTCCTGAGCCGAGCTTTTCTCCTTCATGCCTCGATGATGACTTTGGACCGATGACAATTGGGCTCGATCAATCTCTTTTTCTGCAGCAAAGCGTTTCATACCTTCTTTCCACCCCAAGGACTCCGCCTTCATCATGTTGACCTCCTCACGGAACTGCTCAATCCTCTCGACCTTCTGCTGCAGTTGTGAGAGTAAATGTTAGCCACCGTTCCCGAATCGAGCCCATGTGCTTTTATAATTTTCATTACCTACTTGATAGGGTCGGTCTGATCTTTGTGAGCCGTGGCCAACTCGGTTCGGTGGTCCTTGATTTCTTCTTCTTTTTGCCCACCGAGAAGGTTGAAGTTATTCCTCTCCTCGATAAGCCTTTGAATGTCGGCCTCGTACCGACTCAGCTCGACTCTAGACTGAGAAAATACTTCCCGATGAAGCATTAAGGCCTACGCAGAAAGAAGAAAAGAAGTTAGACAGAAAGAGAAAAATGAACACAAAGGTAATACCAACAAGGGGAATTAAGGCTTACCCGATTCAAAGCTTGCTGCACTTCATTGAAAAGGCTCGATGCCCCGCCCAAGTCCTTCTTTGAGACATCCAAGTCGCTCAGGCCAGTAGCATATTCGACCCAGTAAAGTAATCACGGAAGGGGTCCTTCCTTCCGTGGGCTCCTTCGATGAAGAGGGTCTTCAAGGACCGAGCCTCTTGAATCATCTCCTCAGAAAATGAGGGGAGCAGCGGGGAGCCTCCAATTTCTATTGCTCCAAGTGGATCACTTGGGGCGTATTCTCCATCTCAAGGGGCCTCGAGATCAGCCCCTACGTACCCACCGTTAACTCATTATGGTGGGAGGAATCTTCAATCCACGATGACTTGGGAACTTTGCCCAAGTCTCTTCCCGAGACCCCCTCATCTCGAGACGAAGTCTCTGCAGCCTTCACTAATTTAGTGGCCTTTGGGGCCTCGGTGCTCATTCCCACATGGGCCACCAACCCGGTGTCATCTTTTTCCTCTTCTTCATCTTTCTCCCTTAGACGCCGAACAGAGTCTTCAGTCAGGAGGATGGTGTTCTTCCTCGGCTTACGAGCCTTCTTCTTCTTAGGTTCTGGATCCTCGGAGGTTGAGATCTTTTTCCTCTTTTTGTCTTTTGCCGGTTTCGGTACCGGGATCGAAGTCTCCTCCTCACCAGATAAGGGCATCATGACAGCATCTTTGACAATGCCTGTATGAAAGGAAATTAAGTAAGAAATGCTTTAACAAAATCATCAAAGACGTGGAAAAGGGTCTTACCATGAGTTTTGGCCTCTCATCGGCCATTTGATAAATCGCGCCATGAGCGCTCGGCATACGTAGAGGTCGAGGCTAGGTCCTGAACCCAGCTCTTGAGGTTAGGAATTGCACCGGGCATCCAAGCGACCTCTACATCACGGAAAAAGATATCGATGAGAAGAAGCAAAGGAGAAAAACAATAAATAGGAGCTAACAGTGGGATTTTACTTATGCTTTATATTCTATTTCTCGGGAAATGGCATCTTCTCGGCTGGGATAAAAATACAAATATGGGATAAAATATTAACTATAGAAGAAATATATAACTTTGAATTCACTACGAAAGACATGCTACTAGGAATGCCATTTTTAGATAAATTATACCCACACATAATAACAAGAACACACTGGTGGTTTACCACACCATGTAAAAATAAAGTAGGAGCAAAAAGAGTAAATAATAAATAACGAAAAACTACA